GGAAGGAAAATTATGTGGATATATTGAGGCAACATCTCAATACATCAGTCAGGAAGTTAAAGCTTGGTCGCAAATGGGTCTTCCAAATGGACAATGACCCCAAGCATACTTCCAAAGTTGAGCCAAAATGGCTTTAGGACAACAAAGTTAAGGTACTGGAGTGGCCATCACAAAGACCTGACCTCAGTCCTATAGAAAATGTGCGGGCAGAACTGAAAAAGCGTGTGCAAGCAAGGAGGCCTACAAACCTGACTCAGTTACACCAGCTCTGTCAGGAGGAATGGGCCAAAATTCACCCAACTTATTGTGGGAAGCTTGTGGAAGGCTACCCGAAACGTTTGACCCAAGTTAAACAATTTAAAGGCAATGCTACCAAATACTAATTGAGTGTATGTAAACTTCTGACCCACTGGGAATGTGATGAAAGAAATAAAAGCTGAAATAAATCATTCTCTCTACTATAATTCTGACATTTCACATTCTTAAAATAAAGTGGTGATCCTAACTGACCTAAGACAGGGAATTGTTACTAGGATTAAATGTCAGGAATTGTGAAAAACTGAGTTTAAATGTATTTGGCTAAGGTGTATGTAAACTTCCGACTTGCCAAAGATGTCCTAACCGACTTGCCAAAACTATAGTTTGTTAACAAGAAATTTGTGGAGTGGTTGAAAAACAAGCTTTAATAACTCCAACCTAAGTGTATGTAAACTTCCGACTTCAACTGTAGCTTCCTCTCTTATTTAGTATTTCTCGTGTTTAAAAAAAACATTTAAATTAGTTATAATATTTTGATATTGAATACTGCACTGTTGGGTAGGGCTTGCAAGTTAAGCATTTCACTGTACTTGTGGATGTGACAAATTAAACCTGAAACTTGAAACTATCCAAATTATGAAGAAGAAAAGCTTGAACTGTGGCACTGCAGTTACAGGGAACTCGAAGCTCAAGAATTTCACTGTACCCTGTAATTACAGTGGGGGAAAAAAGTATTTAGTCAGCCACCAATTGTGCAAGTTCTCCAACTTAAAAAGATGAGGCCTGTAATTTATCATCATAGGTACACGTCAACAAATGTAACTATGACAGACAAAAAGAGAATTTTTTTCTCCAGACAATCACATTGTAGGATTTTTAATGAATTTATTTGCAAATTATGGTGGAAAATAAGTATTTGGTCAATAACAAAAGTTTATCAATACTTTGTTATATACCCTTTGTTGGCAATGACACAGGTCAAACGTTTTCTGTAAGTCTTCACAAGGTTTTCACACACTGTTGCTGGTATTTTGTCCCATTCCTCCATGCAGATCTCCTCTAGAGCAGTGATGTTTTGGGGCTGTCGCTGGGCAACACAGACTTTCAACTCCCTCCAAAGATTTTCTATGGGGTTGAGATCTGGAGACTGGCTAGGCCACTCCAGGACCTTGAAATGCTTCTTACGAAGCCACTCCTTCGTTGCCCAGGCAGTGTGTTTGGGATCATTGTCATGCTGAAAGACCCAGCCACGTTTCATCTTCAATGCCCTTGCTGATGGAAGGAGGTTTTCACTCAAAATCTCACGATACATGGCCCCATTCATTCTTTCCTTTACACGGATCAGTCGTCCTGGTCCCTTTGCAGAAAAACAGCCCCAAAGCATGATGTTTCCACCCCCATGCTTCACAGTAGGTATGGTGTTCTTTGGATGCAACTCAGCATTCATTGTCCGCCAAACACGACGAGTTGAGTTTTTACCAAAAAGTTATATTTTGGTTTTATCTGACATTCTCCCAATCCTCTGCTGGATCATCCAAATGCACTCTAGCAAACTTCAGACGGGCCTGGACATGTACTGGCTTAAGCAGGGGGACACGTCTGGCACTGCAGGATTTGAGTCCCTGGCGGCGTAGTGTGTTACTGATGGTAGGCTTTGTTACTTTGGTCCCAGCTCTCTGCAGGTCATTCACTAGGTCCCCCCGTGTGGTTCTGGGATTTTTGCTCACCGTTCTTGTGATCATTTTGACCCCACGGGGTGAGATCTTGCGTGGAGCTGTCACGATTTAAACTGAATATGAACCCAAATGCAGACAACTACACCGAGCCAGAGAAGGTTTAACAGGTTTATTTCAAAGTTAAATTGTCCAGGTTTCCAAAAATAGGGGAAGAGCAAGTCCAGGTCTACAGGGAGGGTAACAGATCCAGGGTTCTGAGCAGGAGTGGTACCGTAACGTCCTAGTGTCCGTGGTGAGTCCAAATGTGAGGTCCAGTAGTGGAAAGCAGGATGGTGGTGGCAGGAGTGAAGCGGAGGCAGGAGTCAGGTTCCAATAATCTGTGGCACAGGAGAAATATAAATAGAACCGGCCAAAAACACAAAGAGCGAAAACAAGCAAGTTGAGTCAGCAGCGAGACTAACATGGTCGTCTTGACTATGATCTGACGATGAGTGGCAAGTTTGACCGGGTCTTTAAGGCTGAGGTGATTATGGTGAATGAGCTGCAGCTGGAACCCTGACTCCCGCACACCAGACTTCACTCCTGCAATTAAGAACAGACAGAGGGGAGGGGGAGAGCAGAGAGAGAGAGCTACCTAGCAGCAGTAGGCCTAACAGGAGCCCCAGATCGAGGGAGATTATCAGTGGTCTTGTATGTCTTCCATTTCCTAATAATTGCTCCCACAGTTGATTTCTTCAAACCAAGCTGCTTACCTATTGCAGATTCAGTCTTCCCAGCCTGGTGCAGGTCTACAATGTTGTTACTGGTGTCCTTTGACAGCTCTTTGGTCTTGGCCATAGTGGAGTTTGGAGTGTGACTGTTTGAGGTTGTGGACAGGTGTCTTTTATACTGATAACAAGTTCAAACAGGTGGCATTAATACAGGTAACGAGTGGAGGACAGAGGAGCCTCTTAAAGAAGAAGTTACAGGTCTGTGAGAGCCAGAAATCTTGCTTGTTTGTAGATGACCAAATACTTATTTTCCACCATAATTTGCAAATAAATTCATTAAAAATCCTACAATGTGATTTTCTGGATTTTTTTTCCTCAATTTGTCTGTCATAGTTGACATGTACCTATGATGAAAATTACAGGCCTCTCATCTTTTTAAGTGGGAGAACTTGCACAATTGGTGGCTGACTAAATACTTTTTTTCCCCACTGTACATCTTCAGCCCTGTACATGTAACTATTCAACTCTCTAATCTCTAATCTAATCTGTGCCATATAATTTCAGACCTCTTGACCGAGGCCATAATGCACTCACATACAGTGAGGTTAAAGGGGAAATCTGCGATTGGATCATCAATTTCTGGACTTTTAAATGAATGATACATACCCTATTGATTCGTGAAGAATATTTCTTTTTTGGTATTTTATTAGGATCCCCATTAGCTGTTGTGAAAGCCGCAGCTACTCTTCCTGAGGTCCACACAAAACATGAAACATGACATAATACAGAACATTAATAGACAAGAACAGCTCAAGGACAGAACTACATACATTTAAAAACGGCACACATAGCCTACACATCAATACATACACACAAAATATCTAGGTCAAATAGGGGAGAGGCATTGTGCCGTGAGGTGTTGCTTTATCTGTTTTTTGAAACCAGGTTTGCTGTTCATTTGAGCAGTATGAGATGGAAGGGAGTTCAATGCAAAAATGGCTTTATCTAATACTGTATGCTTTTTTGAATTTGTTCTGGATTTGGGGACTGTGAAAAGACCCCTGGTGGCATGTTTGGTGGGGTAAGTGTGTGTCAGAGCTGTGCGTAAGTTGACTATGCAAACAATTTGGAATTTTCAACACATTAATGTTTTTTATAAAAAGAAGAAGTGATGCAGTCAGTCTCTCCTCAACTGTTAACTAAGAGAGACTGGCATGCATAGTATTTATATCAGCCCTCTGATTACAATGAAGAGCAAGACGTGCCACTCTGTTCTGGGCCAGCTGCAGCTTAACTAGGTCTTTCCTTGCAGCACTCGACCACACGACTGGACAATAATCAAGATAAGACAAGCCTGCAGGACTTGCTTTGTGGAGTGTGGTGTCAAGAAAGCAGAACATCTCTTTATTAAGGACAGACCTCTCCCCATCTTTACAACCATTTAATCTATATGTTTTGACTATGACAGTTTACAGTAATTGAAAGAAGCAATCTCATAAATTCATCAAGTGCAGCGTCTGGATGCTCCTTATTAATCACATTAGACTAACAAATATTTTTTACATCATCCACATAAGAGTCACAGCAAAATCATTTGCATGATCTCTTATACACTATTTTAGGCCCAGCTTTTGGAACCTTGGCTCTCCTAGATATAGTCACTATATTGTAATCAATGCATCCAATGGGTACAGATACAGCTTTAGAACAGAGTTCTACAGTATTAGTAAAAATGTGATCAATACATGTGGATGATCTTGTTCCTGTAGTGTTTGTAAACACCCTGGTAGGTTGATTAATAACCTGAACCAGATTACAGGCACTGGTTACATTGAGAAGCTTCCTCTTGAGCAGACAGCTTGATGAAAACCAGTCAATATGCAGGTCCCCAAGAAAGTAGACCCTTGTTTACATCACATACACTATTAAGCGTTTCACACGTTATTTAGATACTGATTGTTAGCACTTGGTGGCCTATAGCAACGTCCCAGAAGAATAGGCTTTAGATGAGGCAGGTGAATCTGCAGCCATCCACAGTACTTCAATAACACTTGACATGAGATCTTCTGTAAACATTACTGGGATATGGTTCTGAATATATATAGCAACACCTCCCCCATAAGCATTCCTGCCTCTTCTGTAGATGTTATATCCTTTTATTGCTACTGCTCTATCATCAAATGAATTATCTAAGTGAGTCTCAATAATGGCTAATATATGAATGTTATATAACCTATAAATGCCTCATGAGCTTTAAATTCAACTGTGGTACCCCATCACAACCCACGAATTTGAGAGCGCGTTTAAGCCGTACATTATATTCCCAAAATAATTGCGCACTTATTTGTCATATTACGGTACGAGCCGGAAGGGGAAATGTCCACAAAGAAGTACAATTGTCAGTACTCACACTTGTCCCGGAGTCACTCTTGGCAAGATTAGCTTAATCTGTCCCCCTTTTCAAAGTTAAAATTAGCTAACTTCTCAAGCGTCTTTAAATAGCAAATCAACGATATATACAGAAATGCTGTTGCCTAGGTATGGAGTGGAGAAGAGTTTTTTTTACAAAAAAGCTAGCTATTGTATTTTGTGTAGTAACTAGCTAGCTAGCTAAGGCTATTGACCAACGTTAGTTTCTAGCTAACCAAGCAGTGATTTTAGTTTGCGGCCTACCTTTATCAGTTGAAGTATGTCAGGCACATCTTTGGGTTTTGCTTTCCGTGTTTTAAAATGTAACGTTACCATTTTCTTGTTTTAGATTAATAAGAGCCAAACAGTCGATTTGACAGAACATTTAGCTAGTTAGCCTGGCTTATTAGCTAGGTAGGTAACGTTCGCTACCTTGCTGGTTCTATTTCATCCAAGTCCTAACCCAAAAGTATCGCTAGATACATTGAAGGACATTGCTGAGAGGAAAGGTTCGAATGGAGGCCCCTTTTCATCCTAGAGTTGGGTGAGAAAGTTCACGCGCTTTTTACAGAAGGCGTGTCTGTTCTACTGTCATAAATACATTAGAGGCTTCATTCCACCCTCTCTGGCTAAATACCTAGCAATATACAGATAGACTGTTCAGCGCTAAGTCTGTCTAGGTACTAGCTACGACTGTAACCTAACGTCACTAAAATTCTGTTTGTTGACAGCGACACCCAAAGTATTGAGATGCACCCTCTGACTGACCTGATATCCCCTTGGGCAGCTATAACTAGCAGTATCAGTGGGCTACGTGCCAGGGACTTGACAGACATCTGGGATTCCCATACACGTCTATAATAGGTTTACGGGATGGACTTATTGTAATTGGAGTTAAAATGTTGTGGGCTTGTTGTGTTGACATTTCAGTGTTCCACAGGATCCGTTTGCTAAGGTCAGTGGCGTCCCTGACAACCAGGGCGTTCTCCAGGCGGCCTGTGTCTCTGCAGGGGAAGGCCCCGGACATGTCTGAGGGTAAGGCCATACCCACGTTACTGACTGACTAATTATGTTTTTGATATATTGGTTGATTGATTAACTGACTCACTCACTGTTATGAACCTAATGTGTACTACTTGTGAGGTATGATGGCAATACTAGAGAACACATTGAGTCTCCATCCAGTCTCCTCCTCTGACCCCTGTCTTGTTTTGTCTCCACAGGAAATGCTCACTTGCTAGTGTCAAATGGTGTGTTGGTAAACAAACCTGAATCCTAACTGTATAAAACACTTCCTTAATTCAGTTTTAATTAAATGTAATCCTGCCTGCATGTAGCTTAGCTAACTGTCTCTCAAACACACTGTCTTGCACAAACTCTCACACACCCTGTCACGCTCTCTCGTGATATCCAGCACCCTGTCACTCACTCTTGTGATATCAGCACCCTGTCACTCTCTTGTGATATCCAGCACCCTGTCACTCTCTTGTGATATCCAGCACCCTGTCACTCACTCTTGTGATATCCAGCACCCTGTCACTCACTCTTGTGATATCCAGCACCCTGTCACTCACTCTTGTGATATCCAGCACCCTGTCACTCTCTCTTGTGATATCCAGCACCCTGTCACTCTCTCTTGTGATATCCAGCACCCTGTCACACTCTCTTGTGATATCCAGCACCCTGTCACTCTCTCTTGTGATATCCAGCACCCTGTCACACTCTCTTGTGATATCCAGAACCCTGTCACTCTCTCTTGTGATATCCAGCACCCTGTCACTCTCTCTTGTGATATCCAGCACCCTGTCACTCTCTCTTGTGATATCCAGCACCCTGTCACTCTCTCTTGTGATATCCAGCACCCTGTCACTCTCTCTTGTGATATATAAAAAAAAACATTAATATGCCATTTAGCAGACGCTTTTATCCAAAGCGACTTACAGTCATGCGTGCATACATTTTTGTGTATGGGTGGTCCCGGGGATCGATCCCACTACCTTGGCGTTACAAGCGCCGTGCTCTACCAGCTGAGCTACAGAGGACCACAGATCCAGCACCCTGTCACTCTCTCTTGTGATATCCAGCACCCTGTCACTCTCTCTTGTGATATCCAGCACCCTGTCACTCTCTCTTGTGATATCCAGCACCCTGTCACTCTCTCTTGTGATATCCAGCACCCTGTCACTCTCTCTTGTGATATCCAGCACCCTGTCACACTCTCTTGTGATATCCAGCACCCTGTCACACTCTCTTGTGATATCCAGCACCCTGTCACACTTTCTTGTGATATCCAGCACCCTGTCACACTCTCTTGTGATATCCAGCACCCTGTCACTCTCTCTTGTGATATCCAGCACCCTGTCACTCTCTCTTGTGATATCCAGCACCGTGTCACTCTCTTGTGATATCAGCACCCTGTCACTATCTCTTGTGATATCCAGCAGCCTTCTGTGGTCTGTTTAGAGCTCGCCTGGTGTATGGGCTTGTTTCCCTCTTCCATTTTCTACTGACTGAACTGTGAATGCATCCCTGGCCTGTGGCAGTGGCTAGCTCTTCTTACAGATGCTGCAACCCTCCTGTAGTATATTTTAGTAGACAGACCTTTAATGTTCTCTATACAAACGTACATTATGTACCGTATCTATAGTACTGTATGTTCCTCAGAGATGGACCATCAGGATGTCTTGAGCTGGCTTCTGTCTTGGTGATTTTAGGGGTGCACCTCTCTCTCTCCCTCTTTCAAGTGTCTTGTTTCATATCGGTTCATATCATCTCAACATTATGACAAGACAGCGACGCCAGTCAGGTGGGCCACAAACCAATGGGCAAATCTCAAATTACACTGTATTACCTTGTCAGTGCACTACTGATTTCCCCCATTGCACACACACCCTAGAGCTGCAGCGCAGAGCCACTCAGTGGTTCCATGTGCTAGCTGGAACAACAGTAGAACTGATATAGTGTATCCCATCCAGACCTCACTACTCTCTGGAGCTTGCTGCTGTCATTCTGTCTGAGATCATATGTTTCCCATTGTATTTTGATTTATTTATACCTATTGGTGCCCAGCCCACACGGGCTAAGTCTTGAAGTAATATGTACAAAAAACACAAAACAAAATTACATTTAGCAATTGACACAAATAGATAATAATCATGGCAAGTACAGCTGCCATTTTGTCACATTATACAAATAACACATTTATCCTTCCCTCCAGGCTTTAAAAATAAATTGAGCAATATCAAATACCGTAGCGCTGCCCTAAACTCTTTCGCAACAGTGCACTCAACCAAAGCGTTCTCATCAAATACGCCCTGTCTGCAAAATAGTTCAAACCTGAGCTCAGTATCATTACACACAAACACACACATACACTGAGCTGATCAACTGTGTGGATTGTTTTTCAGTGCGCAACCGGCTGAGGGAGATTGTGGGAGCGTCCACTAACTGGAGGTAACAGAAACAGTGTAGCTACTTTGTATTGAGATATTGATACCACGACAAGGAAGACCAGTGTTGTTGACTGTTAGAGATGTTTATGACCTTGTTAAACTCACAGCTCATTCCTGATGTATCTCCCTTTCTCTATCTCCCCTCCCATCCTGTAGGGACCACCAGCAGGCGTTAGCTGACCGTTTGTCGTTGTCCAATCAGCTGGCTGGTTCTCAAGATGAGCTTCCTGTCCGCAGGATGAAGGACAGCTACATAGAGGTCCACCTTCCCCTGGGCACAGACCCTACACTTAGAGAGAAATACCTCAACTATCACAAAGGTGTCAGGTAACACATGCTCACACACACACACACACACACACACCCACACACACACACACACACACACCCTTTCCCCCCCTCTCAGTCTGGTGTCTCTATTCCAGGTTTGGCCGTATCCTGGAGGATCTGGACAGTCTTGCAGGTATGACATCATCATCATCACCTCAACCACAGTGCACACAGGAACATGGTATTAGTGTTATTACTCCCACTCTTTCTCTCCCACTCTCTCCTCAGTGTTGATCTGTTACTCTCACACCCATAACAAGGCACTTCAGAGATCTCCTCTGTCCATCGTCACTGCCCTGGTGGACAAGATAGGTATGACGCCCAACAGTCCTGATACAACTACAGGATGTACTGTATAGACCAGTGTTTCTCAAGTCTAATCCTGGGACACTTTCCTAGTATCATTTAATAGTTTGTTGCTGTTGCATTCTGGTAGTTGTGGCTTATTTTCCCTGTTTGTGATGTCACAGACATGAGGAAACACATCATCCACCCTGACTGTGACATCAAGTTCGCTGGTCACGTGACCTGGGTGGGGAAGACCTCCATCGAAGCCAAGATGCACATGTCTCAGGTACACACACACAAACAAACACACACACACACACACACACACACTAATGTCCACAATGGTGACGTTATGTCTGTGTGTATGTATAGTACCATGATGGGGCCTACACTCCAGTTCTGGACGCTACGTTTGTTATGGTGGCCAGAGACCCTGAGAACAAGAGGTACACAACATCCATCCGTCACTCCAACCATCCATCCGTCACTCCAACCATTCATCCATCCATCCATAGTATCCATCCATCCCTAACTGTCTGTCTGTCTGTCTCTGTCTGTCTCTCTCTGTCTCTCTCTCTGTCTCTCTCAGGGCAGCATTTGTTAACCCTCTGCAACCAGAGGGGCCTGAGGAGGAGGAACTGTTTCAGCAGGGAGAGAGTAAGACACACTACATGCATGCATATATATATATATATACTGCTCAAAAAAATAAAGGGAACACTAAAATAACAAATCCTAGATCTGAATGAATGAAATAATCTTATTAAATACTTTTTTCTTTACATAGTTGAATGTGCTGACAACAAAATCACACAAAAATTATCAATGGAAATCAAATGTATCAACCCATGGAGGTCTGGATTTGGAGTCACCCTCAAAATTTAAGTGGAAAACCACACTACAGGCTGATCCAACTTTGTGCTAGCTGTGCCACTAGAGATCCTGGTTCGAATCCAGGCTCTGTCGTAGCCGGCCGCGACCGGGAGACCCATGGGGCGGCGCACAATTGGCCCAGCCTCGTCCAGGGTAGGGGAGGGAATGGCCGGCAGGGATGTAGCTCAGTTGGTAGAGCATGGTGTTTGCAACGCCAGGGTTGTGGGTTCGATTCCCACGGGGGGCCAGTATAAAAAATAAATAAAAATAATGTATGCACTCACTAACTGTAAGTCGCTCTGGATAAGAGCGTCTGCTAAATGACTAAAATGTAAATGATGTAATGTCCTTAAAACAAGTCAAAATGAGGCTCAGTAGTGTGTGTGGCCTCCACGTGCCTGTATAATAATAATAATAATAATAATAATAATATGCCATTTAGCAGACGCTTTTATCCAAAGCGACTTACAGTCATGCGTGCATACATTTTTATTTATTTTTTGTGTATGGGTGGTCCCGGGGATCGAACCCACTACCTTGGCGTTACAAGCGCCGTGCTCTACCAGCTGAGCTACAGAGGACCACAGTTGTTCTGAGTGTTTGCAGGGCTAGTGTTTTTAGCTAATTTGTGTATCTCACATTATGTGCCCAGTATGATAGTTTTCTTGCTCTTTCTTAGCAGATAATGACAACATGACAATAACAGTAGCTGATGTAATGAAAAGTTGGAGGGTGGTTGGTAATGGAGGACATCAGGTGGATCCATGTCTGGGTGTTAGGCAGAACCCCTAGGTCCTGTCTGTAATGTATGACCTCCCTACAACGCCTGGGCATGCTCCTGATGAGGTGGCGGATGGTCTCCTGAGGGATCTCCTCCCAGACCTGGACTAAAGCATCCGCCAACTCCTGGACAGTCTGTGGTGCAACATGGCGTTGGTGGATGGAGCGAGACATGATGTCCCAGATGTGCTCAATTGGATTCAGGTCTGGGGAACGGGCGGGCCAGTCCATAGCATCAATGCCTTCCTCTTGCAGGAACTGCTGACACACTCCAGCCACATGAGGTCTAGCATTGTCTTGCATTAGGGGGAACCCAGGGCCAACCGCACCAGCATATGGTCTCACAAGGGGTCTGAGGATCTAATCTCGGTACCTAATGGCAGTCAGGCTACCTCTGGCGAGCACATGGAGGGCTGTGCGGCCCCCCAAAGAAATGCCACCCCACACCATGACTGACCCACCGCCAAACCGGTCATGCTGGAGGATGTTGCAGGCAGCAGAACGTTCTCCACGGCGTCTCCACTCTGTCACGTCTGTCACATGCTCAGTGTGAACCTGCTTTCATCTGTGAAGAGCACAGGGCGCCAGTGGCGAATTTGCCAATCTTGGTGTTCTCTGGCAAATGCCAAACGTCCTGCACGGTGTTGGGCTGTAAGCACAACCCCCACCTGTGGACGTCGGGCCCTCATACCACCCTCATGGAGTCTGTTTCAGACCGTTTGAGCAGACACATGTACATTTGTGGCCTGCTGGAGGTTATTTTGCAGGGCTCTGGCAGTGCTCCTTCTGCTCCTCCTTGCACAAAGGCGGAGGTAGCAGTCCTGCTGCTGGGTTGTTGCCCTCCTACGGCCTCCTCCACGTCTCCTGATGTACTGGCCTGTCTCCTGGTAGCGCCTCCATGCTCTGGACACTACGCTGACAGACACAGCAAACCTTCTTGCCACAGCTCGCATTGATGTGCCATCCTGGATGAGCTGCACTACCTGAGCCACTTGTGTGGGTTGTAGACTCCGTCTCATGCTACCACTAGAGTGAAAGCGCCGGCAGCATTCAAAAGTGACCAAAACATCAGCCAGGAAGCATAGGAACTGAGAAGTGGTCTGTGGTCACCACCTGCAAAACCAGTCCTTTATTGGGGGTGTCTTGCTAATTGCCTATAATTTCCACCTGTTGTCTATTCCAATTGCACAACAGCATGTGAAATGTATTGTCAATCAGTGTTGCTTCCTAAGTGGACAGTTTGATTTCACAGAAGTGTGATTGACTTGGAGTTACATTGTGTTGTTTAAGTGTTCCCTTAATTTTTTTGAGCAGTGTGTGTGTGTATATATATATATATATATACATACACATACACATACACACATTACTGTGTGTTTGTTTCTATTCTTTACTGTGTCTGTGTTTCTCCCTCCCTCCAGTCAATAAGACGCGTCGTATAGAGCTGAGCACAGCGTCTCTACTGAAGGTGGCCCCTACTGCTGAGGAGAGGAAGATCGTACACAGCCTGTTCCTCAACACCCTGGACACCAAGTATGACACACACACACACACAAACACAGGCGTCAGTAAAAATTTGACGTAAACAATTAGCAACTAAACTTCCATAGTGTATCTTTAAATCACAATGATTCTTTTTCGGACACACGTGACCATAAAGGACTTATTGGGAGTCATATCCTGTCACGTCAAATTGTTGTCACATTGATTTTCCCTGAAAAATGAGAGAAGTTCACTCGTTTTCAAGAGTGTCCCAAAAAAATGAAATATATATATACAGTTGAAGTCAGAAGTTTACATACACCTTAGCCAAATACATTTAAACTCAGTTTTTCACAATTCCTGACATTTAATCCTAGTAAAAATTCCCTGTTTTAGGTCAGTTAGGATCACAGATTTATTTTAAGAATGTGAAATGTCAGAATAATAGTAGTTTCATCACATTCCCAGTGGGTCAGAAGTTTACATACACTCAATTAGTATTTGGTAGCATTGCCTTTAAATTGTTTAACTTGGGTCAAAAGTTTCAGGTAGCCTTCCACAAGTTTCCCACAATAAGTTGGGTGAATTTGTTGGTTTAAGTTGGGCCCATTCCTCCTGACAGAGCTGGTGTAACTGAGTCAGGTTTGTAGGCCTCCTTGCTCACACACGCCTTTTCAGTTCTGCCCACAAATGTTCTATAGGATTGAGCTCAGGGCTTTGTGATGGCCACTCCAAAACCTTGACTTTGTTGTCCTTAAGCCATTTTGCCACAACTTTGGAAGTATGCTTGGGGTCATTGTCCATTTGGAAGACCCATTTGCGACCAAGCTTTAACTTCCTGACTGATGTCTTGAGATGTTGCTTCAATATATCCACATAATATTCCTTCCTCATGATGCCATCTATTTTGTGAAGTGCACCATTCCCTCCTGCAGCAAAGCACCCCCACAACATGATGCTGCCACCCCCGTGCTTCACGGTCGGGAGGGTGTTCTTCGGCTTGCAAGCTACCCCCTTTTTCCTCCAAACATAACGATGGTCATTATGGCCAAACAGTTCTATTTATGTTTCATCAGACCAGAGGACATTTCTCTAAAAAGTATGATCTTTGTCCCCATGTGCAGTTGCAAACCGTAGTCTGGCTTTTTTTATGGCGGTTTTGGAGCAGTGGCTTCTTCCTTGCTGAGCGGCCTTTCAGGTTATGGCGATTATAGGACTCGTTTTACTGTGGATAGATACTTTTGTACTTTTGTTTCCTCCAGCATCTTCACAAGGTCATTTGCTGTTGTTCTGGGATTGATTTGCACTTTTCGCACCAAAGTACGTTCATCTCTAGGAGACAGAACGCGTCTCCTTCCTGAGCGGTATGACGGCTGCGTGGTCCAATGGTGTTTATACTTGCATACTATTGTTTGTACAGATGAACGTGGTACCTTCAGGCGTTTGGAAAATTGCTCCCAAGGATGAACCAGACTTGTGGAGGTCTACAATTCTTTGGCTGATTTCTTTTGATTTTCCCATGATGTCAAGCAAAGAGGCACTGAGTTTGAAGGTAGGCCTTGAAGTATATCCACAGGTACACCTCCAATTGACTCAAATGATGTCAATTAGCCTATCAGAAGCTTCTAAAGTCATGACATAATTTTCTGGAATTTTCCAAGCTGTTTAAAGGCACAGTCAACTTAGTGTATGTAAACATCTGACCCACTGGAATTGTGATACAGTGAATTATAAGTGAAATAATCTGTCTGTAAACAATTGTTGGAAAAATTACTTGTGTCATGCGCAAACTAGATGTCCTAACCGACTTGCCAAAACTATACTTTGTTAACAAGAAATTTGTGGAGTGGTTGAAAAACGAGTTTTAATGACTCCAACTTAAGTGTATGTAAACTTCCGACTTCAACTGTATATATACACATACAGTGCATTCGGAAAGTATTCAGACCCCTTGACTTTTTCCACATTTTGTTACATAACAGCCTTATTCTAAAATGGATTAAATAGTTTTTTCCCCTCATCAATCTACACACAATACCCCATAATGACAAAGCAAAAACAGGTTCACCATCTCATTTTCAAGTGTCCCAAAAAAATGACAGCTGCGGAAAGAATTAAGAGACCACTGCAAAATTATCCGTTTCTCTGGTTTTACTATTTATAGGTATATGTTTGGGTAAAAATAAATGTTTTTTTTTATTCTATAAACTACTGACATTTCTCCCAAATTCCAAATAAAGATATTGTCATTTAGAGCATTTATTTGGTCAGTAGAGAGTCGTTTTCGCCCTCTGCCAGTCTGTAGCTTTGTTGTCCCCAATGTCTGCTGCTTTACCTTGTTCTTATGAACCGCTGTCTTCGAAATTTTAAGGATGGAAGCAACCTGACGCTCACTGTATCCCTCTGCCAGTAAAGCCAGAATTGAACCCTTCTTTTCCTCACTCAACTTTCCTTTTCAACTCTTTTGGTATGGTCAATTGTTCTTTTTTGATTAACATTACTTTTGAGGTACTATTAGCACTGTTTTTGCCATCCAGCTGGTCCTATTGCAAGAGGATAGTGATGATCACAGCCGTAGTTTTTATACTTTTCCTCGTTAAATAAGATTTGGTTCATGTGATCACCTAATCAGTACCTAATTCAGTAGAATGAGGTGTGCCTATGTTGGAATTCAACAGACACTGGAATGGAATGGCTGTCATACATGTAGAGATGCTGATTTAAGAAAAATTTGCAGTGGTCTCTTAATTTTTTCCACAGCTATGTGTGTGTATGTATGTATGTATGTATGTATATACAGTGGGGGAAAAAAGTATTTAGTCAGCCACCAATTGTGCAAGTTCTCCCACTTAAAAAGATGAGAGGCCTGTAATTTTCATCATAGGTACACGTCAACTATGACAGACAAATTGAGAATTTTTTTTCCAGAAAATCACATTGTAGGATTTTTTATGAATTTATTTGCAAATTATGGTGGAAAATAAGTATTTGGTCACCTACAAACAAGCAAGATTTCTGGCTCTCACAGACCTGTAACTTCTTCTTTAAGAGGCTCCTCTGTCCTCCACTCGTTACCTGTATTAATGGCACCTGTTTGAACTTATCAGTATAAAAGACACCTGTCCACAACCTCAAACAGTCACACTCCAAACTCCACTATGGCCAAGACCAAAGAGCTGTCAAAGGACACCAGTAACAAAATTGTAGACCTGCACCAGGCTGGGAAGACTGAATCTGCAATAGGTAAGCAGCTTGGTTTGAAGAAATCAACTGTGGGAGCAATTATTAGGAAATGGAAGACATACAAGACCACTGATAATCTCCCTCGATCTGGGGCTCCACGCAAGATCTCACCCCGTGGGGTCAAAATGATCACAAGAACGGTGAGCAAAAATCCCAGAACCACACGGGGGGACCTAGTGAATGACCTGCAGAGAGCTGGGACCAAAGTAACAAAGCCTACCATCAGTAACACACTACGCCGCCAGGGACTCAAATCCTGCAGTGCCAGACGTGTCCCCCTACTTAAGCCAGTACATGTCCAGGCCCATCTGAAGTTTGCTAGAGTGCATTTGGATGATCCAGAAGAGGATTGGGAGAATGTCATATGGTCAGATGAAACCAAAATATAACTTTTTGGTAAAAACTCAACTCGTCGTGTTTGGAGGACAAAGAATGCTGAGTTGCATCCAAAGAACACCATACCTACTGTGAAGCATGGGGGTGGAAACATCATGCTTTGGGGCTGTTTTTCTGCAAAGGGACCAGGACGACTGATCCGTGTAAAGGAAAGAATGAATGGGGCCATGTATCGTGAGATTTTGAGTGAAAACCTCCTTCCATCAGCAAGGGCATTGAAGATGAAACGTGGCTGGGTCTTTCAGCATGACAATAATCCAAACACACCGCCCGGGCAACGAAGGAGTGGCTTCGTAAGAAGCATTTCAAGGTCCTGGAGTGGCCTAGCCATTCTCCAGATCTCAACCCCATAGAAAATCTTTGGAGGGAGTTGAAAGACTGTGTTGCCCAGCGACAGCCCCAAAACATCACTGCTCTAGAGGAGATCTGCATGGAGGAATGGGCCAAAATACCAGCAACAGTGTGTGAAAACCTTGAAGACTTACAGAAAACGTTTGACCTGTGTTATTGCCAACAAAGGGTATATAACAAAGTATTGAGAAACTTTTGTTATTGACCAAATACTTATTTTCCACCATAATTTGCAAATAAATTCATAAAAAATCCTACAATGTGATTTTCTGGATTTTCTTTCCTCATTTTGTCTGTCATAGTTGATGTGTACCTATGATGAAAATTACAGGCCTCTCTCATCTTTTTAAGTGGGAGAACTTGCACAATTGGTGGCTGACTAAAGACTTTTTTCCCCCACTGTACATACATATTTATAAATATCTTCACATTGTGATGTTTCTATTAGTTAAAAACACAACATTTGAAAAAGGTCTCTAATGCCCTGATGTAAATGATTCCAGTCAGTTGGGTCTTTGTACCTGAAAGATCTTACTCCAACCTCATGATTTACCCTTGGAATTTGTAATTGCTGCTGCTGTTGAAAGGAGTAGTGTCAGTCTTGTACAGTTAGGTGTTCCTTAATATACAGTGAGGGGAAAAAAGTATTTGATCCCCTGCTGATTTTGTACGTTTGCCCACTGACAAAGAAATGATCAGTCTATAATTTTAATGGTAGGTTTATTTGAACAGTGAGAGACAGAATAACAACAAAAAAATCCAGAAGAACGCATGTAGAAAATGTTATAAATTGATTTGCATTTTAATGAGGGAAATAAGTATTTGACCCCCTCTCAATCAGAAAGATTTCTGGCTCCCAGGTGTCTTTTATACAGGTAACGAGCTGAGATTAGGAGCACACTCTTAAAGGGAGTGCTCCTAATCTCAGCTTGTTACCTGTATAAAAAGACACCTGTCCACAGAAGCAATCAATCAATCAGATTCCAAACTCTCCACCATGGCCAAGACCAAAGAGCTCTCCAAGGATGTCAGGGACAAGATTGTAGACCTACACAAGGCTGGAATGGGATACAAGGCCATCGCCAAGCAGCTTGGTGAGAAGGTGACAGAACAGTTGGTGCGATTATTCGCAAATGGAAGAAACACAAAATAACTGTCAATCTCCCTCGGCCTGGGGCTCCATGCAAGATCTCACCTCGTGGAGTTGCAATGATCATGAGAACGGTGAGGAATCAGCCCAGAACTACACGGGAGGATCTTGTCAATGATCTCAAGGCAGCTGGGACCATAGTCACCAAGAAAGCAATTGGTAACACACTACGCCGTGAAGGACTGAAATCCTGCAACGCCCGCAAGGTCCCCCTGCTCAAGAAAGCACATATACAGGCCCGTCTGAAGTTTGCCAATGAACATCTGAATGATTCAGAGGAGAACTGGGTGAAAGTGTTGTGGTCAGATGAGACCAAAATTGAGCTCTTTGGCATCAACTCGAGGAGGAATGCTGCCTATGACCCCAAGAACACCATCCCCACCGTCAAACATGGAGGTGGAAACATTATGCTTTGGGGGTGTTTTTCTGCTAAGGGGACAGGACAACTTCACCGCATCAAAGGGACGATGGACGGGGCCATGTACCATCAAATCTTGGGTGAGAACCTCCTTCCCTCAGCCAGGGCATTGAAAATGGGTCGTGGATGGGTATTCCAGCATGACAATGACCCAAAACACACGGCCAAGGCAACAAAGGAGTGGCTCAAGAAGAAGTACATTAAGGTCCTATAGTAGCCTAGCCAGTCTCCAGACCTTAATCCAATAGAAAATCTGTGGAGGGAGCAGGTTCGAGTTGCCAAACGTCAGCCTCAAAACCTTAATGACTTGGAGAAGATCTGCAAAGAGGAGTGGGACAAAATCCCTCCTGACATGTGTGCAAACCTGGTGGCCAACTACAAGAAACGTCTGACCTCTGATTGCCAACAAGGGTTTTGCCACCAAGTACTAAGTCATGTTTTGCAGAGGGGTCAAATACTTATTTCCCTCATTAAAATGCAAATCAATTTATAACAGTTTTGACATGCATTTTTCTGGATTTTGTTGTTGTTATTCTGTCTCTCACTGTTCAAATAAACCTACCATTAAACATATAGACTGATCATGTCTTTGTCAGTGGGCAAATGTACAAAATCAGCAGGGGATCAAATACTTTTCCCCCCTCACTGTATACAGCGACATTTAAATTTCTAAAGAAATTGGTACCAATGCAGTTGTCTTCTGTTTGGGAGTGACAGACAATCTACAAGAGCAAAAGCTACCTCACAAGCTGTTAAAATATTATGCATTGTTTAGCTTCACTGTCCAAATACGAATGTTACCTCTTTTAATTAGGACAAATAATTAATTATAATTAATTATGACATCATATAATCCAGGAAAAACTGTTTATGAGTGATGGTGTTTGTTGTCCTGTAGGACAGTGAGTTTCCGTAGCAGAGTTCTGCCTCCTAACTCCGTATGGATGGAGGACGCCAAAGTTAAAGGATTGGAGATCTGCCATCCACAGGTTAGAGAGAGGAGAGAGGGAGGGAGCGAGATTCACAACCTGAAACATTTCTAATTTGTGCTGACTAAGATGTGTGTGTTTTCAGGAGAGGAATATCTTTAACAGGATCTTTGGAGGGTTTCTGATGCGGAAAGCTTACGAGCTGGGCTGGGCTAATGCATGCGCCTACGGGTGAGTGAGTGTTCCCAGCAAACCAAGAACATTCCCGGTTACGGTGTGACGTGACATGAAAAATGTACCATAAACACAGCTCAGCAATTATGTCTGGATTTAATTAAATTGTTTCTTTGAAAATATTACAGGAATGTCCTGTTAATGTTGGTTATGTTATTCAAAACACCCATAACAACAAGCAAGGAGCGTTCCCACAAGACTCTCATGAAGTTATAGTGTGATTTACGACATGCATGATTGGTCTTGTGTGGCTCAGTTGGTAGAGCATGGCACTTGCAACGCCAAGTTTGATTCCCACGGGGGAACAGTATGAATGAAAATGTATGCACTCACTACTGTAAGTCACTCTGGATAAGAGTGTCTGCTAAATGACTTAAATGTAAATTGTTCCAATAACGTTCCCTGAACATTCACAGAACCAATTTTGATTTGATAGATTGTGTGTGTTTATGTTAGAGGAGATACATTTGTACCAGTGCATCCTCATTCTGTGTGTTCTCTCTCTCTCTCTCTGCTCCAGGGGGTGTCGGCCTAACCTGGTTGCCGTGGACGATATCCTCTTCCAGAAGCCTGTAGAGATTGGCTCCCTATTACTGCTCTCATCACAGGTGTGTGTGCATATGCCTTGGTGTGTTGTTTGATCTGGTCCAGTTTCAGTGCTGACACGCCCCTCTCTCTATCTCCAGGTGTGTTACACAGAGGGGAAGTACATCCAGGTCAGAGTTCATACAGAGGTTCTTGACCCCCTGACCCGGCAGCACAACACCACTAACGTCTTCCACTTCACCTTCGTCACAGACAAAGACGTCCCCAACATAGTACCACAGAGCTACGGAGGTATGACCTCTAACCCTAACATAGAGCTATGTAGGTATGACGTCTAACCCCTGACCTTTAACCTCTAACCCTAACATAGTAACACAGCGCTACGGAGGTACCCTTACTGGAATGTTTGTGCCCACACAAAGAGGTTAAAGTTAACGTTTGTCTATTGATTCCACACAGTCTAACATTGGTCTTACGTGTGCCTGTCTCTATAGAGTCCATGTTGTACCTGGATGGGAAGAGACACTTTAACCAGACTGTGGAGTCTCAGTGAGACAAGATGAACCCTGACCCAACACAACAACTGCCTGCCAAAGCCCTAGTGTCCAGCCACCCCACCCGCCCTCCTTACTGTGTGTGTGTGTCTATTTACATCAACAATGTGTCTATTCATTTGTTTCTCACTATGTACCATATACTCTAAGTGACCGTTTATTAGGTACACCCATCTAGTACCGGGTCGGACCCCCCTTTGCCTCCAGAACAGCCGGAATTCTTCAGGGCGTGGAAACGTTGCTCTATTGGTATCAAGGGACCTAAAGTGTGCCAGGAAAACATTCCCCATACCATTACACCACCGCCACCAGCCTGTACCATTGACACCAGGAAGGATGGGGGGGTCCATGGACTCATGCTGCTTACGCCAAATCCTGACTCTGCCATCAGCATGATTTGTCAGACCAAGCAATGTTTTTCCATTCCTCAATTGTCCAGTGTTGGTGATCACGTGCCCACTGGAGCTGCTTCTTCTTGTTTTCAGCTGATAGGAGTGGAACCCGCTGTTGTCGTCTGCTACAGTAGCCCATCCGTGACAAGGATCGATGAGTTGTGCGTCCTGAGATGCCGTTATGTCAGTTTGTGGCCCGCCTGTTAGCTGGCATGATTCTTGCCATTCTCCTTCGACCTCTCATCAACGAGCTGTTTTCGCCCACATGACTGCCGCTGACTTGTTGTTGTTTGTTTGTCACACTATTCTCTAAACTATAGGCACAATCGTGCATGAAAAGCCCAGGAGGCCGGACGTTTCTGAGATAGTGGAACCGGCACGCCTGGCACCGACAATTATACCACACTCAAAGTTGCTTAGGTCACTCGTTTTGCCCATTCTAACGTTCAATCGAACAGTAGCTGAATGCCTCAATGCCTGTCTGACTGCTTTATATAGCAAGCCACAGCCACGTGACTCACTGTCTGTAGGATATTCCCTCTCTTATTCTTCTGGACAGTTGGGAATAGGGATCCCCCCCCCCCCCCCCCCCCCCACTGTCAATAGTGACTGTGGATCACTTCATATTTTCTATATCAACATGATTTTACTGTCAAAACGGTATTCATGCTACACTGTCTTCCAGCTTCAATACACACCGTCTTGGTTTTTCCGCAGCTACTCACCAAGGTTATTTTATTTGATATAATCCTTCATCTGTATTTGTGACCGAGTGAATGGGTGTGTATGGGTTAGTTAAGGGAAAGGGGCATCTAGATTTGATCAAAGTAATTTTACAGAAATGCAAAAAATGAATACATATTTATCCTCCATTGTGATTCAGGTGTTTGTCTATTCATGTTTAACTTTGCATTTTACTATCAGCAATTGAAGACCACACTAATCACATCACTGATAGAAGCTGTTGTAAGGTTTCATACCAGTGTTAAAAGTTTTAATTTTCCTCATTTACATTTTAGTCATTTAGCAGACGCTCTCCAGTGAAGGTTGTTGAGTTGGCTAGTCTTGTTCAGGGTGCGGTGTTCCAGAATGTTCAGATAGAAATGTATTGTGTAGAACATATATGATTTCCTGTCCTATAGACATCATGTCAGCTCTATTCATTACATTTCTATCTGTAATGTTTAACTTCATTGAACAGATCCCTCTGGTAGACTGTCGTTCACATCAGCTGGTCTAAATACTGGATTATAATTCCGACACAAACATCAGTCTCATCAGTATTAGATAAATATATATTAAATTAAAGCAGCATTTGGGGGTCCTCCTAGCACAAGGCTGGAGCCCCACAATGCTCTGTTTACAGTGCATAGCACATTTTATGTTTACCAAATAGCATGACTCAAATTCAACAGTCCAGAAGTTCTAGCCCTAAGGTGTGCTATAGAGCCATCAACTGGTCTGAAGCTGTCATCTTTCTTTACAATAACAATAGGCTTCCTGCACCTTCAGTAATAGGACCTTTAATTAAAATACTAAATTGATTCCTTGTCTAAACTGCAGAGTGATATGATTACGCTAACAAAAGAGTGAGAGGAGTTTGATCGCCATCTTGTGGTGTAAAAGGAAGTTACAGGTAAAAACAGGTGATTACTCAAACACCTTGACCATATGAACAGGCAATTTGGGTTACATTTTACATTTTTGTCATTTTAGCAGACGCTCTTATCCAGAGCGACTTACAGTTAGTGAGTGAATGAATTGTATTTTTTTTTTTTTTTTTTATACTGGCCCCCCGTGGGAATCGAACCCACAACCCTGGCGTGTGTGTGTGTGTTAAGAATCCTACCTGTGTGTGTGTGTTAAGAACACTACCTGTGTAGTGTGTGTTAAGAACCCTACCTGTGTGTTTTGTGTTAAGAACCTTACCTGTGTGTGTGTGTGTGTTAAGAACCCTACCTGTGTGTGTGTGTGTGTGTTAAGAACCCTACCTGTGTGTGTGTGTGTTAAGAACCCTTCCTGTGTGTTAAGAACCCTACCTGTGTGGTGTGTGTTAAGAAACCTACCTGTGTGTGTGTTAAGAACCCTACCTGTGTGCTGTGTGTGTGTGCGTTAAGAATCCTACCCGTGTGTGTGTGTGTGTGTGTTAAGAACCCTACCTGTGTAGTGTGTGTTAAGAACCCTACCTGTGTGTTAAAAACCCTACCTGGTTGTGTGTGTTAAGAACCCTACCTGTGTGTGTTAAGAATCCTACCTGTGTGTGTGTGTGTGTGTGTTAAGAACACTACCTGTGTGGTGTGTGTGTTAAAAACCCTACCTGTGTAGTGTGTGTTAAGAACCCTACCTGTGGGTGGTTAGCCCCCTCCCGGGGCTGTGTGGGTGCGTTAAGAACCCTACCCGGTGTGTGTGTGTGGGTGTTAAAAACCCACCTGGTAGTGTGGGGTTTAAAACCCTACCTGGGGTTTTAAAAAAAACCCTCCCGGGTTGTGTGTTTAAGAACCTCCCTGTGTGTTTTAAAAAATCCTACCTGTGGGGGTGTGTGTGTGTTAAGAACACTCCCCTGTGTGGTGGGGTGTTAAAAACCCTACCTGTGGGGTGGGGTTTTGAACCCTAGCTGTGTGTGGTGTGTTAAGAACCTTCCTGTGTGGTGTTTGGGGGTGTGTGTTAAGACCCTACCTGTGTGTGTGTGTGTTAAAAAACCCTACCTTTTTTTGGGTGTTAAAAAACCCTACCTGTGTGTTTTTTGTTAAAACCCCCTGTTTTGTGGGTGGTGTGTGTGTGGGGTTTAAAAAACCCTCCCTGTGGGGTTTTTTGGTTTTAAGAACCCTTCCTTGTTTTAAGACCCTACCGGGGGGTGTGTGTGGGGTGTTAAAAACCCCACCGTGTGTGTTTTGTTTTAAAAGAACCCTCCCCTTTTTGTGTGTGTGGTGTTTAAAAAAAAACCTACCTGTGTAGGTGTTAAAAACCCTTTCCTGTGTTTAAAAACCCTACTGTGTGGTTGTGTGTTAAAAAACCTACCTGGTATGGGTTTTTAAGAACCCTCCCTGGTGGGTGTGTAAAAACCCCTTACCTGTGGGGGTTGTGTGGTGTGGTTAAGAACCCCCCTGTGTATTGTGTTTAAGAACCCTCCCGTGTGTGGTGTGTGTGTTAAAAACCCCTCCCTGTGGGGTGTGGTGTTAAAAACCTTCCCTGTGTGGTGTTAAGAACCCTACCTGTGTGGGGGGGGGGGTGTGTTAAAAACCCCTCCCTTGGTGTGTGTGTGTGTTAAAAAACCCTACCGGGTGTGTTTTTAAAAAACCCTACCTGTTGGGGTGTGTGTGTGTGTGGGGTTTTAAAAAACCTACCTGTGTATGTGTGTGTTAAAAAGCCTACCTGTGTGTGTGTGTGTGTGTGTGTGTGTGTTAAGAACCCTACCTGTGTGTGTGTGTTTAAGAACCCTACCTGTGTGTGTTAAGAACCCTACCTGTGTGTGTGTGTTAAGAACCCTACCTGTGTGGGGTGTGTGTGTGTGTGTTAAGAACCCTACCTGTGTATGTGTGTGTGTTAAGAACCCTACCTGTGTGTGTGTTAAGAACCCTACCTGTGTGTGTTAAGAACCCTACCTGTGTGTGTGTGTTAAGAACCCTACCTGTGTCGTGTGTGTGTGTTAAGAACCCTACTTGTGTGGTGTGTGTGTTAAGAACCCTACCTGTGTGTGTGTGTGTGTTAAGAACCCTTCCTGTGTGGTGTGTGTGTGTGTGTTAAAAACCCTACCTGTGTGTTTTGTGTTAAGAACCCTACCTGTGTGTGTGTGTTAAGAACCTACCTGTGTGGTGTGTTAAGAACCCTTCCTGTGTGGAAGAACCCTACATGTGTGGTGTGTGTGTTAAGAATCCTAACTGTGTGGTTGTGTTAAAAACCCTCCCTGTGGGTGTTTTTTTTGTGTGTTAAAACCCCCTCCCTGTGTGTTAAAAAACCCTACCGGGTTTGTGGGTTAAGAACCCCCCTGGGGTTTGGGTGTGTGGGGTAAAAACCCACCGGTATGGGGTTGTTTTAAAAAAAACCTACCTGTGGTGTTAAGCCCCCTCCCTGTTTTTGTGTGTGTTTAGAAAACCCTCCCGTTTTTAAAAACCCACCTGTGGGGTGTTGTGTTAAAACCCTACTTTGGTTTTAAGAACCCTACCTGTGGGGTGTTGGGTGTGTTAAAAAACCTACCTGTGTGGTTAAAACCCCTCCCTGTGTGTTAAGAACCCCCCCTGTGGGGTTTTTAAAAAACCCACCTGTGTGTGTTAAGAACCCTACCTGGGGTTGGTTGTGTTAAGAACCCTCCCGTGGGGGGTGTTTTGGGGGTTGTTAAAAACCCCTACGTGTATGTGTTTAAAAAACCCCTACCTGGTGGGTTTTTAAGAACCCACCTTGGTGTGTTAAGAACCCTATGTGTGTTTTAAAAACCCACGGGTGGGTGTTAAGAACCCAAACCTGTGGGGGGTGTGGGGGTTTGGGTTAAGAACCTACCTTTTGTATGGTGTGTGTTAAAAAACCCTACCTGTGGTGTGTTAAAACCCCAAATGTGTGTGTTGTTTAAGCCCCACCTGTGGGGGGTGGGGTGTGTGTGTGTGTTAAGAACCCTACTTGTGTGGGGTGGGTGTAAAACCCTTCTGGTGGTGTGTGTTGTTAAGAACCTCCGGGGTTTTGGTTAAAAACCCCTACCTGTGTGGTGTGTGTGTGTGTGTGTGGTGTGTGTGTGTGGTTAAAAAAACCCTCCGGTGTGTTTTAAGAACCCTACCTGTGTGGTGTGTGTGTGTGTGTGTTAAAGAACCCTACCTGTGGGGGTTTTTGGTTTTTGGGTGTGTGGGGGTTAGAACCCACCTGTGTGGTGTTTGGTGTGTGGGGGGGTTAAGAACCATACATGTGTGTGTGTTAAGAACCCTACCTGTGTGCTGTGTGTGTGTGCGTTAAGAATCCTACCCGTGTGTGTGTTAAGATTCCTACCTGTTTGTGTGTGTTAAGAACCCTACCTGTGTGGTGTTTGTGTGTGTGTGTGTGTGTTAAGAACCCTACCTGTGTGTGTGTTAAGAACCCTACCTGTGTGCTGTGTGTGTGTGTGCGTTAAGAATCCTACCCGTGTGTGTGTTAAGATTCCTACCTTTGTGTGTGTGTTAAGAACCCTACCTGTGTGGTGTTTGTGTGTGTGTTAAGAACCCTACCTGTGTGTTAAAAACCCTACCTGGTTGTGTGTGTTAAGAACCCTACCTGTGTGTGTTAAGAATCCTACCTGTGTGTGTGTTAAGAACACTACCTGTGTGGGGTGTGTGTTAAAAACCCTACCTGTGTAGTGTGTGTTAAGAACCCTAGCTGTGTGTGTGTGTGTGTTAAGAACCCTTCCTGTGTGGTGTTTGCGTGTGTGTTAAGAACCCTACCTGTGTGTGTGTGTTAAAAACCCTACCTGTGTTTGTGTGTTAAAAATCCTACCTGTGTGTTTTGTGTTAAGAACCCTACGTGTGTGTGTGTGTGTGTGTGTGTTAAAAACCCTACCTGTGTGTGTTTTGTGTTAAGAACCCTTCCTGTGTGGTTTTGTGAAGAACCCTTCCTGTGTTTAAACCCTACCTTGGGTGTTTGTTAAAACCACCGGGTGGGTTGTGGTGTGTTAAAAAGCCCCCCCTGTGTTGTTTTGTTTTAAAGACCCTACTTGGTGTGTTTTAAAAAACCTCCCTGTGTGTGTGTGTTTAAAACCCCTTTCCCTGTGTTTTAAAAACCCTACATGGTGGTGTGGGGTGTTAAAAAACCCTACCGGTTAGGTGTGTTAAAAACCCTCCCGGGTGGTGGTTTTAAGAACCCACCTTGTTGGTTTTTGGGTTTTGTTAAGAACCCTACCTGTGTGTTAAAAACCCTACCTGGTTGTGTGTGTTAAGAACCCTACTTGTGTGGTGTGTGTTAAGAACCCTACCTGTGTGTGTGTTAAGAACCCTTCCTGTGTGGTGTGTGTGTGTGTGTGTGTTAAAAACCCTACCTGTGTGTTTTGTGTTAAGAACCCTACCTGTGTGTGTGTGTAAGAACCCTACCTGTGTGCGTGTGTTAAGAACCCTTCCTGTGTGTTAAGAACCCTACATGTGTGGTGTGTGTGTGTTAAGAATCCTACCTGTGTGGTGTGTGTTAAGAACCCTACCTGTGTGGTGTTTGTGTGTGTGTGTTAAGAACCCTACCTGTGTGTTAAAAACCCTACCTGGTTGTGTGTGTTAAGAACCCTACCTGTGGTGTGTGTTAAGAACCCTACCAGTGTGTGTGTTAAGAACCCTACCTGTGGTGTGTGTGTGTGTTAAGAACCCTACCTGTGTGTGTGTGTTAAGAAACCTACCTGTGTGTTAAAAACCCTACCTGGTTGTGTGTGTTAAGAACCCTACCTGTGTGTGTGTTAAGAACCCTACCTGTGTATGTGTGTGTGTTAAGAACCCTACCTGTGTGTGTTAAGAACCCTACCTGTGTGTGTTAAGAACCCTACCGTGTGTGTGTGTGTGTGGTTAAGAACCCTACCTGTGTGGGGTGTGTGTGTGTGTGTGTTAAGAACCCTACCTGTGTATGTGTGTGTTAAGAACCCTACCTGTGTGTGTGTGTGGTGTTAAGAACCCTACCTGTGTGTGTGTGTGTGTTAAGAACCCTACCTGTGTGTGTGTTAAGAACCCTACCTGTGTGGGGGGTGTGTGTGTGTGTGTGTGTGTGTTAAGAACCCTACCTGTGTATGTGTGTTAAGAACCCTACCTGTGTGTGTGTGTGTGTTAAGAACCCTACCTGTGTGTGTGTGTGTTAAGAACCCTACCTGTGTGTGTTAAGAACCCTACCTGTGTGTGTGTGTTAAGAACCCTACCTGTGTGGGGTGTGTGTTAAGAACCCTACCTGTGTGTGTGTGTTAAGATCCTATCTGTGTGTGTGTTAAGAACCCTACCTGTGTGTGTTAAGAACCCTACCTGTGTGTGTGTGTTAAGAACCCTACCTGTGTGGTGTGTGTGTGTTAAGAACCCTACTTGTGTGGTGTGTGTGTTAAGAACCCTACCTGTGTGTGTAAGAACCCTTCCTGTGTGGTGTGTGTGTGTGTGTTAAAAACCCTACCTGTGTGTTTTGTGTTAAGAACCCTACCTGTGTGTGTGTGTTAAGAACCCTACCTGTGTGCGTGTGTTAAGAACCCTTCCTGTGTGTTAAGAACCCTACATGTGTGGTGTGTGTGTGTTAAGAATCCTACCTGTGTGGTGTGTGTTAAGAACCCTACCTGTGTGGTGTTTGTGTGTGTGTTAAGAACCCTACCTGTGTGTTAAAAACCCTACCTGGTTGTGTGTGTTAAGAACCCTACCTGTGGTGTGTGTGTGTGTTAAGAACCCTACCAGTGTATGTGTGTGTGTTAAGAACCCTACCTGTGTGTGTTAAGAACCCTACCTGTGTGTGTGTGTGTTAAGAAACCTACCTGTGTGTTAAAAACCCTACCTGGTTGTGTGTGTTAAGAACCCTACCTGTGGTGTGTGTGTGTTAAGAACCCCCCGGTGTGTTAAAAACCCCTACCTTGGTTGTGGGTGGTTTAAAAAACCCTCCCTGTGGTGTGTTAAAAACCCTACCTGTGTGTGTTAAAAACCCCTACCTGTGTGTTGAAACCTCCCTGTGTGTGTGTTTTAAAAACCCTACCGTGTGGGGGTGTGTGTGTTAAGAACCCTACCTGTGTATGTGTGTGTTAAAAACCCACCTGTGTGTTTTTGAACCCTACCTGTGTGTGTTAAAAACCCCTACCGTGGGGTGTGTTAAGAACCCTCCTTGTGGGGTGTGTTTTTTGTGTTAAGAACCCTACTGTGTATGGGGGTTTGTTAAAACCCTCCCTTTTTGGTGTTAAGAACCCTACCTGTGTGTGTTAAAAACCCCCTTACCTGTGTGGTGTTTAAAAACCCTACCTGGTGGGGGTGTGGTGTGTGTTAGAACCCTATTTTGTGGTGTGTGTGTTAAAAACCCCTTCTGTGGGGTTTGTTGTGGTGTGGTGGTGTTAAGAACCCTACCTGTGTGGTGTTTTAAGAACCCTACCTGTGGGGTTTGTGTGTGTGTGTGGGTGTTTTAAAGACCCTACCTGTGTTTGTTTTTAAAAAAGCCTACCGTGTGGTTGGTGTGTGTGTTAAACCCTCCCTGTGTGGTGTTGTGTGTGTGTGTGTGTAAAAACCCCAATGTGTGGTGTTTGTGTGTTGGGTGTGGGGGTTTTAAGAAACCCTACCTGTGGTGTGTTAAAACCCTCCCTTGTGCTTGTGGTGGGGCGTTAAGAATCCCCCCGGGGGGGTTTTAAGATTCCTACCTGTGTGTGTGTGTTAAAAAACCTAGTGTGGGTGTGGTTGTGTGTTAAAAAACCCTTACCTGTGGTGTGGGTTAAAAACCCCTCCCGTGTGGTGGTTTTGTGTGTGTGTTTAAAAACCCCTCCCGGGGGTGTGGTGTGTGTTAAGAACCTTCCCTGTGTGTGGGTTTTAAAGAACCACCGTTGGGGTTGTGTGGTTGTTAAGAACCTTACCTGTGTGTGTGTGTTAAGAACCCTACATTTTAGTCATTTAGCAGACGCTCTTATCCAGAGTGACTTACAGTTAGTGTGTGCATACATTATTTTTTTATTACTGGCCCCCCGGGGGAATCGAACCCACAACCCTGGCGTTGCAAACACCATGCTCTACCAACTGAGCTACATCCCTGCCGGCCATTCCCTCCCCTACCCTGGACGACGCTGGGCCAATTGTGCGCCGCCCCATGGGTCTCCCGGTCACGGCCAGCTACGACAGAGCTTGTGTGTGTGTGTGTGTGTGTGTGTGTGTGTGTTAAGAACCCTACTTGTGTGTGTGGTGTGTGTGTGTGTTAAGAACCCTTCCTGTGTGGTGTGTGTGTGTGTGTGTGTTAAGAACCCTACCTGTGTGTGTTAAGAACCCTACCTGTGTGGTGTGTGTCGGTTTGTTTCAGAGCCTGGACCAGACGCAGGGTCTCCTCTACAGAACATCCTACTGGGAGGTCATTTAAGGTCACCTGTCTCAGAACACCTACACTGTCTATGATGAACAGACCCCTGGAGAGGAGAAGAGAGGAGAGAGTAGAGGAGGAGTGGTAGAGGAGAGGAGAAGGGGAGAGGAGAAGGGTGTGTGTGTGTGAGCCCTACCTGAGTGTGTGTCCCAGGTCCTCCATGTAGATGCCGTAGTCCTTGGCAATCTGGTGTGTGATGTCAGAGAGAAGAGGGATTTTCATTAGTCCAAGCCCACCCTGCTTCCGAGGAGTGTTGATCCTATTGACATGGAAAATCAATCAATCAATTTGTATTTGTAAAGGGGTGAGAGGTCAGGGATCAGAGTTCGTATACCAGGCCAGGTGTGTGAACTGGGAGTCTGTAGAGCAGGCGACCACCTCGGCTCCGACGGCTCTGAACTCTTCCACATGCTCACTGAAAGCTATCACCTCAGTGGGACAGACAAACGTACTGCGAGACACACGCATACACACACTTTTACTGAGCTGTATAGGGATAAGGAAATTATCGGATCATTACTCAACTTTCTTAAATGTTGTCTGGGTCTCTGGTCTTGACTGAGATGAGCTGAAAACAGCAGCCCAGTGGTAGACTGAGGTACTCACAAGTCCAGAGGGTAAAAGAGCAGGACCAGGTATCTTCCTCTGTAGTCCAACAGACTGAGCTGTTTCAACTGTCCATCAACTACTGCTGTCCCCACCCAGTCTGGAGCAGGCTTAGAGACTAAGAGAGGTATGAGAGATGGTAATGAGCTGTAATAATTACTAACACTTTCTAGTTGTACCATCCATCTCTCTCTCTCTCTCTCTCTCTCTCTCTCTCTCTCTCTCTCTCTCTCTCTCTCTCTCTCTCTCTCTCTCTCTCTCTCTCTCTCTCTCTCTCTCTCTCTCTCTCTCTCTCTCTCAGTGTACTCATGTAATCATGTGAGGACTAAAAGTGAATAAATACAGCAACATGATGAGCAGGCAGTTGCTTATTATAACATTGCAGTGCACAGGTAAAATAGATATCAGGTAACGCACGTGGTGGGACTCACTCTTTGCCTTGCTCATGTGCAGGGAACAGCCAGGGACAGGTGGGCAATGGACCTTCTTGCTGTCTGTCGCTTAAGCCGAGTTACAGAAGTATAAAATAAGTGGATCAATTGTTAAAAGCGTCCAGGACGTCATCTCCATTTTCCTCTGATGACAAGAACATTCCAGGGTAGTTCGAGTGAAAGCACACAGAGTCAGCAGCTGGACATTATTGCTTTTTCCCATGGTGGCAGAGCAGCGAAAATGTTAGAGCATTTAAGGATACAGCCAGGCAATAAAAAAAACTACAACTTCAAGCAGTTTTAGAATAGATCTAGATATTCAACAACAATAATGCGGTTGAACTTTGTGCAGGCCTGCACCTAATCTTTATTATCATAATGTAATTCATTGCCTTCTGTCTTGGCCAACCCCGTGATAGTTTTAGTTGGCCACCCGACCCACCACGGAAGTGTCAGCTGATCTATGTTGTCGACGTTAATCCGTTAGCTAGCTAGGTCGGCTGTTCTGTACTGGTGGTAGAGCGAAGTGTCCAGTAGCATGCAAAATATGTTGACCCTCATCTCAAACGTGTTCCGACTTGGCAACGCCAGCAAGAATGTGGTACGTACTTCTGGCAACATACGTGCTGCTGTCCAAGGTGCTGAAAGCTAGCTAGGTGATTTCGCTATGAGATAGCAAGCTCGCTAACTACATGTGCCAGATGAGAGGTTGCTAGTAGCTTCAGTCCCAGATAGCATTGCTGACCTTGTAGATGTCGGCCCGTTAACATGGTCACTCACAGTCCGAACTGAACAACACAACATCCAAATCATTGTTGTTCAGTGGTTGCATTGATGACAGCCTGTCCATGCATTTATTAGGCCAGATTAAATTTGAACATATATGTGTAGGATGTATCGGTATAACGAGTATTGCAGTATTTTATTTATTTTATATTTATTTCCTATAAGTTGACAATTCTGAAGTACAGGGAAAAGCAGAACAGGTGCAATGGATTTTTTTGGGAAACATATTGAGACCTACTCAATCAAGGGTTTTTCATTATTTTTACTATTTTCTACATTGTAGAATAATAGTGAAGATGTCAATAACTCATATGGACTCATGTAGTAACCCAAAAAGTGTGAAACAAATAGAAATATATTTTATATTTGAGATTCTTCAAAGTAGCCACCCTTTGCCTTGATGACAGCTTTGCACACTCTTGGCAATCTCTCAACCAGCTTCATGAGGTAGTCACCTGGAATGCATTTCAATTAACAGGTGTGCCTTGTTAGAAGTTAATTTGTGGAATTTCTTTCCTTCTTAATGCGTTTGAGCAAATCAGTTGACAAGGTAGGGGTGGTATACAGAAGATAGCCCTATTTGGTAAAAGATCAAGTCCATATTATGGCAAGAACAGCTCAAATAAGCAAAGAGAAACGACAGTCCATCATTACTTTAAGACATGAAGGTCAGTCAATATGGACAATTTCAAGTGCAGTCGCAAAAAGCATCAAGCGTTTGATGAAACTGGCTCTCATGAGGACCGCCACAGGAAAGGAAGACCCAGAGTTACCTTTGCTGCAGAGGATAAGTTCATTAGAGTTACCAGCCTCAGAAATTGCAGCCCAAATAAATGCTTCACAGAGTTCAAGTAACAGACACATCTCAACATAAACTGTTCAGAGGAGACTGCATGAATCAGGCCTTCATGCTTGGGCCAAGAAACACGAGCAATGGACATTAGACCGGTGGAAATCTGTCCTTTGGTCTGGAGTCCAAATTTGAGATTTTTGGTTCCAACCGCGGTGTCTTTGTGAGACGCAGAGTAGGTGAATGGATGATCTCCGCATGTGTGGTTCCCACAGTGAAGCATGGAGGAGGAGGAGGTGTGATGGTGTGGGGGTGCTTTGCTGGTGACACTGTCAGTGATTTATTTAGAATTAAAGGCACACTTAACCAGCATGGCTACCACAGCATTCTGCAGCGATACGCCATCCCATTTGGTTTGCGCTTAGTGGGACTATCATTTGATTTTCAACAGAACAATGAGACAACACACCTCCAGGCTGTGTAAGGGCTATTTAACCAAGAAGGAGAGTGATGGAGTGCTGCATCAGATGACCTGGCCTCCACAATCACCCGACCTCAACCCAATTGAGATGGTTTGGGATGAGTTGAACCGCAGAGTGGAGGAAAAGCAGCCAACAAGTGCTCAGCATATGTGGGAACTCCTTCAAGAATGTTGGAAAAGCATTCCAGGTGAAGCTGGTTGAGAGAATGCCAAGAGTGTGCCAAGCTGTCATCAAGGCAAAGGGTGGCGACTTTGAAAATCTAAAATATAATTTGATTTGTTTAACACTTTTTTGGTTACTACATGATTCCAAATGTGTTATTTCATAGTTTTGATGTCTTCACTATTATTTTACAATGTAGAAAATAGTAAAAATTAAGAAAAACCCTTGAATGAGTAGGTGTGTCCAAACATTTGACTGTTACTGTATATAAATAGTGGGAAGCACAAATAAAACATTACAAATCACGGCAGCTGAACAGTGTTTCCTGCGACACATTGGTGCGGCTGGCTTCCGGGTTAAGCTGGCAGGTGTTAAGGAACGCGGTTAGGTGGGTCATGTTTCAGAGGACGCATGACTCCGCCTTCACCTCTCCTGAGCCTGTTGGGGAGTTGCAGCGATGAGACGATCGAAAATTGGGGAGAAAAAGGGGGCAAAAATAAATAAAACGGCATGATCATTACATAGGTGCACCTTGTGCTGGGGACAATAAAAGGCCACTCTAAAATGTGCACTTCTGTCACACAACACAATCCCACAGATGTCTCAAGTTTTGAGGGCGCGTGCAATTGGCATGCTGACTGCAGGAATGTCCACCAGAGCTGTTGCCAGATAATTTAATGTTAATTTCTCCAAACAGCCTCACAACCGCAGACCACGTATATGGCGTCATGTGGGCGAGCGGTTTGCTGATGTCAACGTTGTGAACAGAGTGCCCCATGGTGGCGCTGGGGTTATGGTATGGGAAGGCATAAGGTTATGCACAATGAACACAATTGCATTTTATTGAATGCAATTTGAATGCACAGAAATACCTTTGACGAGATCCTGAGTCCCATTGTGAGGCCCTTTTTATTTTTTTTACGGTATCTGTATTCCCAGTCATGTGAAATCCATACATTAGGGCCTAATGAATTTATTTCAATTGACTGATTTCCTCATATTAACTATAACTCAGTACAATCTTTGACATTTTTGTTCAGTATAAAAGCAGATTTACCTAGCTCTGTGGAGACCCTAGGATCCTCAAGAGTTAACCAATCCTGTGAACGGGTTAGGCAACTCAGGTGTCTATACTTCAACAGCAAAGTTAGATATGACAGAAGTTTATGAAGTAGGGCCTTGTAAACACAAAGGGAGTAATGTAGAGATCTACAGGTCTTTAGTGAAGTCCAGCCAACCTTTTGATACAGGATTCAGTGTTTAGTATCAAAACTGTCACCTGTAACAAAATGAAGGGCACTATGGTAGATGGCATCCAAAGGTTTAAGAGTAGTAGCAGATGCACTTTGATAAATAATATCACCATAATCTAGAACAGATAAAAAGGTTGACTGAATAATCTGCTTCCTACTGCTTAGAGAAAGGCACAATCTGTAGAAAAGGCCAACTTTAAATCTTAGCTTCTTAACCAGCTCATCTGTACAGTGGGGAGAACAAGTAGACCAGGATCCAATTGGTTGGCCCCTTTTGGATTTCTCTTTGTCTATTGATACACTGCCGATTTTGCAGGTTTTCCTACTTACAAAGCATGTAGAGGTCTGTAATTTTTATCATAGGTACACGTCAACTGTGAGAGACGGAATCTAAAACAAAAATCCAGAAAATCACATTGTATGATTTTTAAGTAATTCATTTGCATTTTATTGCATGACATAAGTATTTGATCACCTACCAACCAGTAAGAATTCCGGCTCTCACAGACCTGTTAGTTTTTCTTTAAGAAGCCCTCCTGTTCTCCACTCATTACCTGTATTAACTGCACCTGTTTGAACTCGTTACCTGTATAAAAGACACCTGTCCACACACTCAATCAAACAGACTCCAACCTCTCCACAATGGCCAAGACCAGAGAGCTGTGTAAGGACATCAGGGATAAAATTGTAGACCTGCACAAGGCTGGGATGGGCTACAGGACAATAGGCAAGCAGCTTGGTGAGAAGGCAACAACTGTTGGCGCAATTATTAGAAAATGGAAGAAGTTCAAGATGACGGTCAATCACCCTCGGTCTGGGGCTCCATGCAAGATCTCACTTCGTGGGGCATCAATGATCATGAGGAAGGTGAGGGATCAGCCCAGAACTACACGGCAGGACCTGGTCAATGACCTGAAGAGAGCTGGGACCACAGTCTCAAAGAAAACCATTAATAACACACTACGCCGTCATGGATTAAAACCCTGCAGTGCACGCAAGGTCCCCCTGCTCAAGCCAGCGCATGTCCAGGCCCGTCTGAAGTTTGCCAATGACCATCTGGATGATCCAGAGGAGGAATGGGAAAAGGTCATGTGGTCTGATGAGACAAAAATTGAGCTTTTTGGTCTAAACTCCACTCGCCATGTTTGGAGGAAGAAGAAGGATGAGTACAACCCCAAGAACACCATCCCAACCGTGAAGCATGGAGGTGGAAACATCATTCTTTGGGGATGCTTTTCTGCAAAGGGGACAGGACGACTGCACCGTATTGAGGGGAGGATGGATGGGGCCATGTATCACGAGATCTGGGCCAACAACCACCTTCCCTCAGTAAGAGCATTGAAGATGGGTCGTGGCTGGGTCTTCCAGCATGACAACGACCCGAAACACACAGCCAGGGCAACTAAGGAGTGGCTCCGTAAGAAGCATCTCAAGGTCCTGGAGTGGCCTAGCCAGTCTCCAGACCTGAAGCCAATAGAAAATCTTTGGAGGGAGCTGAAAGTCCGTATTGCCCAGCGACATCCCCGAAACCTGAAGGATCTGG